ATTTTCCTCTGTCTTGGAAAGTTTAATGACTTTTTCCTTGTCTGTATCTGTTCTTGCTTTCTTGTATGGGATTCTACTCATGTTTGTTAACAAGAGTTTGCACTTTTTGGGAGTTATAAACCTCCCTTTACTTGAGTTTTGAAAGTAGACTGTTTCATTTAAAAGAGTAATTTTGTGTTTCTATAAATTCCAGAGATAAACCAGAAAGAGTTTTTTTTAAAGAATTTCATCAAATTTTTTAAAACCAACAATATAAAAAAAATTCAGAAGAACAAACTATAATAGAATCGAATAAATCAACTTCAACTATACCTTTAATATTTTTAAAAGCAGATATTCACAAACTAGCTAAGCAACAAAAACTGATATCTTATCTGATAACATGGGTTGTTAAAGATTGTCAGGCCTTAAGTATTATAGAAAAAAAACATTTCAGCTATCTTGTCAAGAAATGGACTTTATTTTAAAGTTCTTGTTTTAGCTCATATTAAAACTATAATTAAAGAATCTGTACTTGTTACTAAAAAACAATTGCATTGTTTATTGTCAGAAACAATAGAAACATTTGCTTTTATCACTAATTTGTCGGCTAGCATGCATACATCCTATATTGGCATAACTATTCACTGGCTTTCAAAAAACTTTAACTTATACTAGGCAGTTCTAACTATTGAAAAATTTTCCTATTCACACTTAGATAAACATTAAAACTAATTTTTATCAAAATCTTTGAATATTAAAACATATATGATAACCTGATAAGAGGAACAACTGACAATTATAAAGCAACTGTCAAAAAAATACAACTTCTTGAAACATCTTATATTCATTATACTGCTTATACAATTCAATTGGCTGTTAAAAATGGTCTTAGTATATATAATAATCTTATAAATAAAGCAAAAAAAATTAAACAATTGGTTAGTAAAAAAAGACTGGTATCATTAAAGCCTTTGCTATATTCAAAATGAATTTAATTAGTTATTAGTAAATATTTCAGAAAATTCTAAATAGCCACTACTTGTTAATGAAGTTATGAACAAGAATCTGATGATTCATCTAAATTAATATTATCAGAACAACTAACATCATCTATTCAATTATTATTGTCTGAACAATTAAAAAAATAAAATTCATCTATTATTGAACCTATTAGTAATATAAAAGCTAAATGAAATTTAACATTTTTTGTTTTAAAATGATTAATTCAATTACAAAATATTGTAAAACAGCTTGCGAGATCATTAAGCCATCATTCTAAATTATAACAAAAAAAAGATAGTTAAAGTTTAAGCAAGAGATTATTTTCAAAAGCAGAATGAAGAAAATTAGATGAATTAATAATACTTCTAGAACATTTTGCTTAAACAACCAAATTAATTGGTGATACTTAATATCCAACTCTTAGCATGATGCTTTCTACTATTTTACTTTTGCTTTCATATTTGTACCAAATAAATGAATCAATAGATTCATCTAATATCTTAGATATTTGTGAAAAAATTGAAGATTCTATATCTAAATATTAAAATACACCTTTAATTAAAGCATATATTGCTTCTTATTTAGACTCTTATTTTAAAATATGTTTTTTGCTAACAATGAAAAAAAAAATTGTTAAAAATACAATATCAAAAATAATAAAAATAACTGCAAATACTATTAAAACCCTAATGCAAACTGAAATGGATTAGTTCTTTGATGATGATATTTAAATCAATTATTTAATATATAATAAATTAGAACATTATAACAAAGTAGTACAAATAAATAAATATTATATTTATCAACTGCTTTATAAAACTCATGATCTTCTTACATGATGGCATACAAATCAACAAAAATATTCAAACTTAGCAGCATTGGCTCAAAAATTTTTTGCCTTTCTAGCAACTTTAGTACCTTCTGAATAATTGTTTTCTAATATAGCCAACATTTTAACAATAAAGTAAAACCAGTTAGATTCAATTATGATGCATGATATATTGGTTTTAAAAACTAATTTTGATCTTTTCAATGTTTATTTTGACTTAGAATAAAGCTTGAAAATATTATACTGAAAAAAAACATTAGGCTTATTAATAAAAAATAAATTAAATAAAAGATTAAGTTTTATATTTTTTATATATCAACTATTTATAACTATTATCTAATAATATTCTAGTTTATAAATCATAGCGATGTATTAATTTCAAAGTTTAAATATATATATGTATTAAATTTATTACTTATGCAATATTTCTGATAAAAAGAGTATTTGTAAAGCAAGGTTGAAAAAAGAATATATAATAAATAAATAATATTTCAATTTTAAAAATGTAAAATTTTTGTAAAACATAGCTTTATAGCTATTCTTGCAATCTAATTAGTTAAAAAAAAATTTTTGTAAAAAGTTAGCCTGGTTGACCTGCCCAAGATTTTTTGCTAGCCAAGTTAGCCCAAATATTTAGTATCAGCCTATATTATTATCTTAATCCTAAACTCAATAAACTATCACCAAAAACTCCAATATATTAAAACATTCTCTTCTAAAACTTTTCAAATCTCTTCAATTTTATAATATATACAAACTCTTTTTTTCTTTAACTTTAATATTCACTTTTATATATAACAAAAGTAGTAGTAGAATGAACTAACATCTATATTACATTTTTAGACTATGCTGATATCCTATCTAACTTATTTACCCTAACTGATCACTTAATAGTATCTTTAGAACTTACTATCAACCTATCTAAAATAAATCTACAACTACTTAAAATAAGAACCAAATATCAATAGAAGTTAACTATCAATGAACAAATAAAAAATTACCAAACCCATATAGAACAAAATCTTTAACTATTACTAATATTACTCAAAACTCAGAACTTAACAATATATAGAATCAAATTAACAAAGCTTTAACTAAAGCAGTTCAAAAACATATTTTATTTAAAAAAGTTAAAATCAACCTATATCAAAATAAACAACAACAACTCTTCTTTACACCATTATACAACTCTTAATAGATCTAACTTTCTACAAACATACAACTTATATTTTAGTAAATATTCACAAAACACCTTACTACCATTTTTCTACTTAATATTAACTAATAATAACCTTATTCTTACTTTACTTTCAATACTCCTTATCACTGAAATCAAAATACTTAAAACTCAAATCCTTAAAGAAAAATAAGAAAACACAATAAAAGAAATTCAAAACAAACTTGAAGAAAGAAACAACAACTTTTATTAAAACTCTAAAATATTCTTTCAAAATGTCTTAAAAAAACACAATAGTAGTATAAACTTAGATCAACTCCTTTCTAACAATATACTTACTATTCAACCAACTGAAATTAAACAAGCTTTACAATCCTATTTTCAAGACTATTTCCAAAAACTACCATACTCACCAATTTAAGAAAATACAAAATATTATAAACTATACAAATTCTATTCAGAAAATGAATCTTATTTTGTTAATCTTTTTTTAGAAATTACTCTTAAAGAGTGGAACAAAGTTATACATGACCTTTCTAACTAAAAAGCTGCTGATTTTTCTAAACTAATTACAAATATTTAAATTATCTAAACTTCAAAGGCCAAAATATTATTTGACTTTTCTTATCAAAATGTCTCATATTATAACAAAATCAAACACTATAAAAAACATTTAATATTTTTCTAATTTCAAAAAAATCTCTATGGGATTTTACTTTAGATCAAGTTAAACCTATTTCACTAATCAAACTTATAAAAAAATGCCTTACTAAAATCTTTACAACCTGTTTTGATCAAATTATTACTTAACATCATCTATTAAGTAATCTAAACTTTACAACAACTAAGAACAGTTTAACTCACATTCTTATACAAATATTACTAAATACAATTAAACATTACAAAACTACCAACAAAGAGACATAAATACTCTTCTAAGACATGTCTAAAGCCTTTGACAAAATCAACATTCAACATTTACTAGATGTTTGCAAATATATTGATATTCTTTAAACTAGTCTAAAACTTTATTGAATTTTTCTATCAGGACAGAAAAGCTAGAGCAATTATTGCTTATAGTCTTACTGACCTAATCATCCTACACTTAGGCACAGAACAAAGAGAAACCTATTTTTTTTTTTTTTTTTTTTTTTTTTTTTTTAAGATGAGGTCGAGAAACCTATTTTTTACTACTTTGAAAAATATTCTTAGCTATATAAACTCAAAATATAGCTTCAAACTTCTAAAATCTTATCACAATCTCCTCTAAAAACAATCTTTTTAACAACATCAACTACTATATTAATACTACTTCTTGTCTTTATAAATAATATAGTATGGCACAGTGAATTCAAAAATAATCTTCAAAATATTCTAGACAACATACCAGAACTTTACCAACTAAATAACATAAAAGTTAACTCATCTAAATCAGATCTTATTCATATTTTATCTAACAGAAAAGCATTTTTTAGCACTACTTAAGATATAAATCCTTTAAACTTTAATAACCAACCAATTACATTTCACAAATCAAATGAATTAATTAGATACTTAGGTATTTTCTTAGATGAAAAAGAATCAACTAAACCCATACTTGAAAAAATTATTAGCAAACTTTCTTAATTCACATATATAATTTAATACAAAAAACTCCTATCTATACAAATATCTTGATTGTTTAATATTATTCTCTTATTATTAATTAAATACTTATTACAAATTTGCTTTCCTTTACAAAACCAACTTCAATAATTATCAAACCTCTTAACAAAATATACCAAACACATATTTCATCTATCTACAAACACAAACAATAATATACTTACTAACCTACAACTACTCAATATTGCCTCTCCTAAAATTTCAAATGTAAATTCGGGCATTCCGAATCGTGTTCGTAATAATAATACGGAAAAGAATGTATCTATAGCACGTCCTGTTTCACAATTACAATCTCCCTCTTCGTCTAATTCATCTGGTTTGTCACGGACGACTCATAGAACTAGTATGATAAAGTCCCCAGGTTCTGCAACTTCTGTGCGGTCGTTTGGTGGAAATACCGCTGAAACCCCTAAACAAAATTCTATAAAAAAAATTAGACCACAATCTCATATTGTTAATGATCAATCTTCAAACGATAATTATTCCGCCTTTGGTCCAAATGCCCCTTCTGGTATTAGATCACCATCTGGCTTAAGAAGTTCTACAATTACTCGTATTGGTAGTCGTCAGAGTTCTGATAGTCTATCCTCATACGACGATTACATTATATTTACTCCTCCAGAATCTCCTACAAATGCTTCAGAGACTGATTCTCTTACTTCCTTAACAAGTTCCGTTTCATATGGTTCTTCACCTGGTAGAGGAACTTCTCCAATACCTCCTGCATCAGTAATTACTTCTCCAACTAGAATTTCATCAAAGTCAAGCAACCGAACATCAATGATTACTCCTCCATCTGGCATAAGTAAACTTACTTATACTAGAACTACCCCTTTAAAACCTACAACTCCTGGCAGTCAAGCAGCATCAGGGGTTACTGGGTTGAGACCACCAAGCAATATCAGGATGTAAGGGAAATTGTTCGCACTAGGGTTGCGATCAACCCCTTTTTTTTGAATTATGACATTGCTACATAGTTTGGGTTTGGGATTTCTAATTCATTTGGGATAATAACCAAAATATAAATAGATGTCCGTTCTCAGTTAATAGTGTAAAATTCAAAAACCAATTAAATTTGTTAATCAATGCTATAAATTATTAAAATTTCATTTTTATTTTCAATTTAAGAATTTAAGAAAGATTCGACGACTAAGTAGGATATACTGAATAAAGTGATATGTTACAGTAGGTCTAATGGTTAATGGTTATATCGAATATGTCCACAGTATGTGAAAACTAATTATAAAATTGACATCGAAAATAAATTTGATTGGTAAATAATAAATCCTTCAACTTTTTTTTCGAAATTCGAATAGAAGTGCCCGATAGAAAAGTAAAACCCTTTGTAAAAATCAATTACTGTTGATTAATCCATGATTTTACCAGATCATGATGTATAAAATTATTAAATAAAACAAAAAGGTTCTTTTGATATAAAAATTCGTTCATTTCCAACTTTACCAATGTTTAAATCCCATCTTATTTAATATGAGAGATATTGCGTTAATCCAGTACAAATTAAAGTGAACTCTTCCAATAGATACAAAAAAAAAAAAAATCAAAGTTCTTATTGGTAAAGCTTTAGTAACATTTATTAGCTAAAAAAACTATAAACCGGTTGCCTAACACTAGTCAATAGTAAGGACCAAATTACCTAAATCCGTAACTCTTTTGCGATTATGATCCTTATAGAGACCTGAACCAATTTTTACACAAAAAATTACAGTGCTATTTGTGATTTTATCTAATTTCAAGTTAGTGACTCGAAAAATTATTGATATTAATTTAGTCTCTTTGATATATATATTTTATAGTTATTGTATATATAGTTGCCTGACGATTATAAGTCCGATTCAATTTCATATATACAATATGGACATTCATATCATTTATTTTTTTTTTCTTTCAGCAGTTCTGCCTTTATTAAAATTTTAATATATTGGTTTCAAAAAATTGATATTACCTTATCTAAGAATAATGTACTGTTTTTTTTTGTTATTTTAATATAATTTAATGTTAGGAGTTAGAATTAACTTTAGGTTAGATTAAAAAAGTTTAAATATATATAAATTTGATATTGAAAAGGTTTGCTTAGAAGTTGAAGCATGGTTTTTATAATAAAATCTTGAATTATTTGAAATTTTGTTTTTCTTTTTTTTACTTTGTTTTGTTTATACAAGATTCAGTAATCTGATTGGTTTTTATACAACTAGGTAATATTACCTAAAGTAAAAATTAGCAATATAATAGTATTTTAAAAAAAATTTAAAAAAGATAAAATTTTTTAAGCTGCAGGTTTAGTTTGAATTTTATTTTTTATTAGTAATAATTTTTAAAAATATATAACTTGTATTATAGCAACTGTTTTTTGTTAATTAGTTAAATTAAGTATTTGTAATTTTGGTTATACTAAAAATTAAAATTTTGAAATATTTATATAAAGTGTAATATTATACAAATATAAAAAAATGTTTATTAATATTGCAAAAGTTTTAAATTTTTTTTTTTGGTATTAAAGTAAGATTTTGCCTTTATCTTTATTAATAATTTGTTATAATCAACTACATAAGTTGATATAGGTCAAAGTCAATTTACAATTTTTTTATAATAATGAGACTCAGACTATAGATGAAATTATTATCTAATTTATTTAATTTATCTAATTTATTTGCAATCTAAACCTATTAAAGTAGTTAAAACTTACCTAGATTTGCAAAAGTTTTAATATAAACCTATTGTTATAAAATAAATTATTATTTTATTATTATTATTTTATTCTTATTTTTTTAATTTTTTTTATTAATATAATATTAAGTAGAAAAATATGAATATATGAATATATTAATTGAATATGAATATATAACTAAAATATTATTTCTAAGCTATACTATTGTTGTTATACTACAATATCTAGTGTAATATCCTTTAGTTTTCTGTTATTAGTTAAGTTAATTAGTATAAACTTAACCACAAAAGAGATAAAAGAGACTCTTAAGATTATTTTAATTAATAAAAGCAGATATGTATAATGAAGTTTTGAGAAAAAGTTTTAAAAATAAAGAGATTTATATCAGAGTTAAAAGTAAAAGTGATATTGTTTGAGTTTGAAAGTTAAAAAGTAAGTAATCTAATGTTGTTTTTTCTTTTAGTAGAGGTTTTAATTTCTTGTAATGATTTCTATTCATATTGTTTAGTATTATGAGTTTGCCAGATAGTAGAGATGAACCAGATAAGTAATGAGTTAGATAAGGAGATAAGAAAATTGTTAGTTAATTTTTTCAGAATAAGCTAAAGTTAATTGTATTAGTTAAGAATTATTGTATTCTGAATGAATAAAAGTATTATGTTATATATATTGAGAATAAGAAAAGTATTTTATATAATAAATATTTGTATTATTGTATTGAGTGAGTTTCTATAATATTTAAAGAATTTAAGACATTTGAGATTTCATTTGTAAGAGTGTTTTGTGGATTGTGGAATGAAGTGAGTATTAAAATAAATGTTTAATACTTTTATATTAATTACAATATAAACAATTTGGAGTTAAATAAAGGAAAAGGTAACAGATATTTAGATTTAATATTGTTAGTAGATTATTGAGAAGTATTTTATTTTTGATAGAATATAGTTTAAGATTAAAGTTTTAAGAGTTAATAATTTCAGTTAATAATAGAATATTTATAGTAAAAAGGTTATATAATGGTTTGAGTTAAAGGAGTTTGTTAAATATTTGAATTAAGATTAGATTTTTGCAAAATTTATATAGTTTGTATGTAATTGGAATTTCTTTCCAAAAAAAGAAAGTAGGTAGATAGAAGTGGTCAAGATTGAATTTTAGTTTAGTTTTGTTGGCATCTTGTTTGGCTAGAGAATCAGTTATATTGTATAAAGTATTTTTTGAATGTGATTTGACTTTATATATAATGTAATTAATTTTTTTTTTTTTTTATGTTAAAGTCCCTATCTTGGGAGTGGTGATGTTTTTATTCAAGTATATTAGGACATGGCATGCCACCAAGGGCTCACCTTACATTGGAGGTTACAACTAGCC